CAAGTTTACCTATCTTTTTGATTCTAGCGGAAAATTGCTCAACTGTCATATTTCCTTGCACAAGTTGACCAAAAACTGCCATTTGTTTTAAGTGCTCAACCGATGTATAGGCAGTTCTAATCAAATATAAGAATTGTTCAAGAGTAATGTTAGGGGTGATTGTAGTAGCAGGAAAACCACCTGTATTTGGTGCAACTGGTATATCATTTGTTGGCTCGCCACCAGCTATAGACCAATCTTTCTCCCAAGTACCTATTGGAATAATATCAGCACCGGTTGCAACCCCTGCATCAATTCTACCAATTTCTGTGGCAGCCTTATTACGAAATTCTCCTGCTGTATTTAAACCACCAATCTGATTATTATTATTTCCAGCCGCCAAAGCTCGAACAGCATTTAAGTCAACCACTCCTAAATTATCTGAAAGATTATTACATTTCCAGTTTCTACCCTTAACACGAGTTTCATACCAAGTCAATACAGGTCCAGCAAAACATGATATTGCCAATCCTAATATCTCTGCTCTTCCAGCAACTCCTCCAATACCAGGAGTAATATTTATTCGACTAGCCACTATATATCTTCGAAATTCTCTAAGCCAATCTTCTGGATCTTCGCCAGGATGTCCATTAAAAATTGGGGGTCCGTATCCTACCATACTTGTTTGATTGTTATTTATAAGTGGATTATTCTGTAGTAATAAAATTTGTCTACGTAAATTCAAAATTAATTGACGTTGTACAAATTTTTCTGTCAATAATATAATATTACATTTTCTTTGTGCTCGGATGATTAATCGCCTATATAATTCACGAGATCTCATAATAGTGCTTTTATTTTTTCACTTCTGATATCTGCTTATAAGTTGGTCACGCCAATATTCTAACATAGCCCTATTAGCATGACATTCTTGTAAACCTCTTTCGGCTTGATATGCTCTATTTCTATAAATAGTATATCGTCGGTAAATCCATTGAAAATTATTTAAGGCTCTGTATCTGGCTCCAACATATATTAAACCTAAAATACGCAAGCGCTCTTTTAACTTGTTATATTCATTTTCCAGTTTTACAAAATTTTCAGATACTTCTATATAATCTATTGACTGGTTTTCAAAGTTTTGCTGAGTTTCCAATAATTCCCCTTGAACACCGATTATGGATTCTGTTAATCTATAATTTTCGGTACGATATAAATTTAACTGGTCTTGAAGCATCTGATTTTTTTCTGCCAATTCATTGGAAAAATCTTGCTGATTTCAGATTATATCTACTTGCTCATTTATAGTCTGTTGCTGAACAAATAGACGGGTTTCATTTTCTTCAATAATGCCTTCTCTTAGGTGACCAATCTCGTAGTTATATTTATTTTCGATTTGAGTTATCCTCAATTCGGTTTGTATTTGAAGATTATCAATTTCATCAGAAAGTAATGGGTCATCATTTCCTCTATAACAATCGGCTAAATATTTGAAATTATCTCGGACCTTAATCAATAATGTAAGAACTGTTTCAGAA